CTTAAGTAGTTGGTTCACCACAAAGTATGCATCATAACGACCGGCATTATGCGCTATAAATGTATAGTCACTAAACGGTGGATCAATAAATGTCCGAACAAAGTCTGCCAGACATGTTGCACCCTGAAACTCCCAACATTTAGTTGGTTCTAAGGTTGAGCCAACACGCTTCTCTAGTGGCGAACGGTCGTCACATTCTAAGTGGGCTGCATAGACAAAAATGTAAGAGTTAGTGTGTGTGTAAGAGTTAGTGTGTGTGTGTGTCTATAAACTGTGTGTGTGTAAGAGACTGTGTAAGTGTAAAGCAGTGTGTGTGTGTGTGAGAGACTGTGTGTGTGTTACAGCTAGTGAGTGTGTATAAGCAGTGTGTGTAAGAGACTGTTTGTGTGTGTCTGTTAGAGCCGGTGAGTGTGTATAAGCCGTCCAAGTGTGTAAGAGACTGTGTGCGTTAGAGCCAGTGTGTGTGTATTAGCAGTGTGTGTGTGTGTAATGGTCAGTGTGTGTGTGTTATGGTCAGTGTGTGTGTGTGTATGAGCGAGTGAGTGTGTGATGCAAGGGGGTAAAGAAAAGTAGGATGAAGACACAAAACATGTAAAAAATAATGCCAGACAGGATACAATATACAAAAAAGGAAAACAAGAGAAAAAGGTGGTAAGATGCAAAGGGGCAAAATAATTGGTAAGAGGGGCAAAAGTGGGAATATTAGACAGACAGGTGAAGATAAATTTTGGGGGCAGCAAAATGTGTCTTCGCCTGTGTAGACAGAAGTCCTTGCACCGGCCCTGTGTGTACTACCCTCGGGATCGGTTTGTTCGTGGCTTATTGGGTTATCAGAATTTACTGTGAAGAAATAAAATAATATAAAATAAATAAATATCTGTGAGGAAATTACGTTTTATAATGCTGGGGTATAAAAGGTAATTGAAGAGGTCTCTGGTTACAGTTGTTTATAACGGTTTCAACAAACGAGTTGCTTAATTCCGGCATGCTAAAAGCATCTAGTAATACTACAAAAAAGCAACCACAGAACAGGTTTTTTTCATTACTATACGTATATACAATCGCATTAAATATGTACTTTCTAATGGCGACTTTAGATAAAACTTACGATCTTGAGCGTAATCAGGCGATGTGTCAAGCTCATCAACATCATTAAACAACGGTGTGTCACCATGCTGAAAAAGACTTTACACTGTTACCGCTGATTTTTTTTTTCATCATTAATACTGCTAATACATAATAGTGATAATAAAACTAAATAACACCCATGTGTGATTGGTATCTTAAGCAGAATTTCAACAACGCGTTAATGTAAAGTTATAATCGGGTAAAAAATATACCATACACGGTGTGCAAACATAATGCAAAAAAATATAGAAATCTCATATATAATTTAAAAATAAATAAATAAATAAATAGTCGTACTGGGGTCATGAAAAAATAATAAGGGGCTAAAAATAAAACGTATACAATGTTGTATAATTGGTACTAAAAACTAAGAACGCTACCGGTAAAAAACATAGCAAAACATTTTTAATAAAAACAAGATATATTTGGTGTGTCAGCGCTATGCTATACATTTGTCAAAGTAAATATTAGTTTCCTTTACCATGGTATTCATGCTGACTGCGTGTAGGCAGAGGCTGGTTGCGTGTAGACAGAGGATCGCTGACAGTCTGATGTTCTTCTGAATCCTTCAAAGGGTTGTGAATGCTGCATCTTACAGGGCTATTTTTATACACAGAAATCCATCCACACCCCCACACACACCCTCCCTTACCCTCCCCTCCTCCCCCTGTCAGACTGAACAAAGAATTACAGAGAGCCTTTTTGTCTTGACAAATAAAAATGGTTTTATTTGAAATAGAATATGATGTTACAAAAATGCAGTTTTTCAAATTTTCGTTATAATAAACAATATTTCAAGTTTTAGGATTACACCTCTTGCATCTCTGCACATGAACGCTATGTGTTTTTCTATTTTTTAGATATCGCCTATGTTTCCGCACAAAGCTTCTAACTATAAAATCATTTTGCTTTAGGTTGACACTAAAATTATTTAAAACAGATTTAAAATCTAAACCTCTACACATATTAGTAATAAAATAAATAAAAAATTCACCACAGACTATTGAAAGGGTGCTTTGCAATTGCATGTTTTGAAAATAGATTTCTTTAGCATTCTTTTCCATAAATTTCAAAATTTCTTTTGGGTAAAGATGGTTTTCTGGTGACACACCATATGAATCAAAAAAATAGCATTGTCTTTTTGAATCAATGTAAACGGCTAACCAGTGCTCTCCTGGGGCTGTATGTGGGTCCGTATTTATAACATAAGCCGTCGGTACACGCTCCACGGTGTGCGGGGGTAGTAGATCGTATGGATATACACCATCAAATATGTTTTGACAATCTGGGTCTGTACGTAGAATTTTTGTGATTTCCAAAGTGTTCATTTTTATACTTAGAGAAAGTCATAAAGGACCTCGCGTCTTTGATTGATTTCAATTATATTATCAAACTGCCCATAAACTAGCATATTAACAGTTCTTTCCAAGGGCCTTGCAAAGCGGATTTCAGCACGAAGGTTACCGCTACGGATTAGTGAAAAATGACTGTTGCATTCCTGGTCCGGCGATAAGTCAAATGCAAATAGTGTGTAGCCTGACACATACTCATCTCTGTTTATTATGATTCCCGAATCGCCACAGCTTTTCTGCGCCAGTACAAAAAATGACATATATTCACGCACTGCATTACAATGTTCGAAATCCGGTTGGAATGGTTTTGAAGGGATTTGCTCACCATCAAGGTATAGCGCTGCAGAATTCACGCTGTTATGTTTGAAACACAGCGGATTACTGTCATATGCGCCTGAAAAAGCTTCATTGTCTACAAATGCTAAAACAACAAACTTTGGTAACTGCCCCAGAAACAGGTTTTCTTGGTTGCAGACACGACTGCCTGCCGGTATGCTGAATACTTTCATACTGATGCGCTCTATGGCATATTTAGCATTACCGTTTAAAAGTCCTTGCGCGTGACCTATTCTCACCGCTGGTGATATTTGTACTCTTTTGACAAATAGTGATGCGTTTAGAATTTGAAGTTTGAGAGGGTCAGCTTCTGCAGACATTAAACAAAAAGAATCTTTATTTCGGGTCAGTTTTATTTTTAAATCCAATCCACTCAGTATAAGCTTTCTTGAAAAAAAGAGATCACTGTGTAGATGTCCTAGTAATTCAACAGTCCTTCCGCGATCTGTCATCTGTGCACGCTTTACGAATCCTTTGTTGTCACCAGCCAATACACGATCTTCATGATGGCCCGCTGTATCTTTGTAAAACAGACCAGCGGTAAATTGCGTGGATAAGGCTTCTGCACTGTAATTAAGAAGCGTCTCAATGTATGCTTGGTATGCGTACAGATTATTGGATTGCGATATCAGCCGGTCTCCAAGCGTTACATCTAGCTGGTTAAATAGTGTTGCTACCGGGTAATTGATTAGACTTACCCGCGCCCCTTCAGCGATCTGTGAATTATCATTTTCAACGATTTTACAAACAATGTATAAAAGGGTGTTATTCAGATCGTAATAATGCTCGCCGCTGCCTGAAATATAAAATTCAAGCGGTGATGTTTTGGAAATTGCGGCGAGCGGTTGAACTTCTACATAGAGGCTTTTTTCTATACTTGTTTGTGTGGGCTTTATTTCAAAAAGATCCAATTCTGACTTTGCGCATTCTACAGATGAGGAATGAATAAATGCCATGGTTTAGATTTAAAAGATGTCGCTAACCCCGCGTCTTGTTGCTCTTCTCTTTCTTCTAGATTTGCAACTGGTCTTTTTGTTTAGGAACTGTTTGAGGTCAATTGGAAATGCCACATTGTGCTTCCGTTTCTTTTTAGCCATCCGTTTACCGGTGTATAATAAACCACCTTATTGATAACCGCCGTTGACACACGACTGACTACATCTTTTGCAATGTTTTTTGCTGCATTTTTTACGTGTGGTTTAACGAGTTCAATACCACGTCAAAAAAGCGGTACCGCTTTTCTGAATAAACTACGAAAAATACCTCCTAAGCCGCGTCCATACATGTAGGCACTGCCATGAAAACCGGGCAAACCATATCCGGCCTGTGTCTTATAATAAGTACTGTAAATGTGTGGTTCGCCATAGATTTTAACGGCCACCATGTTTGTTTCGCTAGTAGTAAACACTACGACGGGGACGAAAGTGCAGCTTAACGATAGACTTGCCGTATTTGAATGAGACGTTTCTATTTTGGTCGTTCTTTATCTCTATTGTGATGATATCAAAATGCTGCTTACTGACTGGTAAGTAATCTGGTTTGATGTACTTCTGAGTAATAATCTCATTGTTATTACCTGTAATTTCAACGGAGCGTAGTAGCGGCTCATAATTATCACCCACACGCTGATGCTCTATTATATCTGTGTACACAAACAGTGTATAAAAACTGCTCTTTATATCTGCACAAATAGTTCCTGAAATAGTTCTATCAAAATGATTAGAGTCAATTCCAAGTATATGCGTCAATTTGTCACTGGCTATAAATGTATCACGACCAACAACATGTACATTGTTGGGGATAAAATCAGCCTGGGCCCTTTGTGGATGATGGATATTTGCCAACTCATTCAGAGCTCTGGAAATTGGAAATGAATAGCAGAGACGTGTTCAATAACCAATTCAAATTGTATTCATACGTCAGTTATATTTATACACCATTTTCATAGCAGGATGGGAGGGGGAAAAATGAGCATATGGGCGTGACAATGACATTGTTTTTCACAAGTTATAAACAGCTGTTTTTAGTTATAATTCGATGTTACATAATGTATGCATATTGGATAAAACCCAGATGATTACAAACACCGAAATCTTGGACAAATAACAAGGTCATTCCAGAATCCTTATCATGTCATGTCATGTCATGTAGATATCCAAAATCATGTTCCAATAACATTTCCCGTAAATAGATAAGTTTTATTTCCGAGAATTGGAGATACAATTCCAAATTTATTCTTGGGTCAAATTAACCCTTATATGAACAGCTAGGATATTGAGCATAATGGATATTCGCATCTACAATTCCCCTCTTAGATCATATCATGATCTACCTTACGGAATATCCATGGGAGGCCTGCGGCAGAGAAACCAAAGGAGGTATATTCAGACGTGCTAATCACGTCTGCGGGACTTTCATTATTTCTTCACCTCGATTTCCCCCATTTGCTCTGTGCCGTAGGTTTTCCCTTTAAGAGGAGATCGTGCTGTCGATTTTCAGCTTCTGTAATCATCTTTTGTACACATCTTTTAAGTGTACAAGTTAAAAATTTCAAACAGCTGACATCTTAACCAATTTTAAACATACTGCACATCGTGTTATCTGTAACTTGAGCCTTGGATCAAAACAGGCAAAGTGTATTATTCCCAACAACGGGAATATTATTATTATAATTCACAATGTAAACACATATAATCAAAAATGGGAATAAAATCTATTTCCCCTCTTTGGACCAGGGTCTTGCATTACCAGTGCACCCAGTGAACTTGGGCCAGGTCAAAAATCCCAGTGGCAAAAACTCATAATTGAGGAAAAAAGCACATCTGGGGAAACTCTAAGTGAGGGCCATGACTGTGTAAACATGTCATCCCCTCACGTTGACAGCATTAGTGACTTATAAAACCTGCACTTTGTAAGTAAATAGCTCAGGTATCGGGATTGGGAAACACTTCTTGATTAGTTTGAAAAGGCCCACTTACATATTAAATCATGAGATCATTTCTAATCAGTTTGCAATTCTAGCAATAATCCCTTGCATCCTATGCCTCCTAATCAAATCCCTATTTCAATGGTCCAGTCATATCCACACTCAATACATGGGAATCCATCCTTGGTACACTCAACATACATCAATGACACACATAGTACATCCATGCCTGAGTAAGCTAACACTTCCTCTCTCTCCGGCTAACTCTACAAAAATAAAAATAACAAAATAGTTCAATAGTCCAGCATAGTCCAGAAAAATATTATAAGTCTTTCAAGGAGTATAAAGAATCTTAGACACCATAAACTTTGTTCCAGAATCTTAGACACCATAACATAGCTAAGGGTAGCAATATGGCTGACAACAAGACAATGTCAGCTTCCACATAGTTCTTAATTCTTCTGTTTGCTGGATGTTCACCACAATACTCTGTGCAACACCCCTATTGTTGAAAGGGTAATACAGAAATAGCGGCATTAGACAGCACTGCATCTTCAGGACTCTCCAAGTTAGTTTATGTCCCCATAAGTAAGCATCTCAGTTTCTTCGGCCAGCATGGATTTTGACCAAACAGATTTAATTGCAAAAAAAGATAGGTCAGCCAGAGACCAGAGAGATTGGTGTGTAGTCCCAAATATCAGGCGGCACAAATACTCCAGTACGGTCTCTATAATCACACAAACACAAGGATCAGTACTACATCAATAAATTAATTATCTAGGCTAAACTCAAATTAGAGACTAAAGTTAAACTCTTAACTAGTGTAACATGTACTTCTCTCAGTTTTGCTTATAATTCATTGAATTTGTCCTTTATAAAATTTTAATACATAATTTCCCTTTAGAATGCCTTTTTATGGATGAGAGAAGCACTCATTCTATATAAATGCTTGTTGAGTACTAAAACACTAACATATACATATTGGTATAATTCCCAATAAAATGCTGTTCTTAAACTTAAACCTTGATTTGATAATCTCAATTAATTACTTTAACAACACTGGAATGCTGAAGTCTGTCAGTTTTGTGGACCCTGATAACATCTTTGGAAACCGAAACCTTTTATAGATCCCGATGTGTGTGATCATGTTTTAATACATGTTAGAACCTCCATACTGTTATCCCACTTAAACAATATTTTTTTTTTTTCAGAACAACTAGGAATGAAATAGGAGAAACAAAATAAATTACTATTGTTCTAAAGTGCTTTGTTTAATACAGGTTTCGGAAGAGTTGTCTTGCTGTGTTGCAAGTGGCCTCTGATAAGGAAGGGACAGCAAACTGTAAACATATGTTATTAAGTTGCCTTCACTTGTCAGGTCTTGGAAACACACTTATTTTATTGCAGATGCCTTTAGGATACCACGTTACAAATTGACTAAGCATACTTATTATGCTATTTTATTTTAGATATTTCACATTGCACAGCCTATGCAAACAATGTCTAGGTACCAACTTCAGCTTGTACATCCTCTAAGAGCCAGCATTAATACTGTTTTATCTATAAAAACTATATATAAAGTATTAAAAACATGAACCATCTTTGTATTAGGCTGAGGTTGTTGGGTGTGGGTATAGCTTGAAAGTTGTGGTTGGTATTGAGGAACCTGCCAGGGTGGGAGTCCTTGAATGCCAGCTGGGTCAGGTTCTCCCCTAGCACCGGGTTCTCCTTTGTCTCCTTGAGCACCAGGTTCACCATTTTTACCCTTAGGTCCAGGGGAACCTTTGGGGCCCTGAGGTCCAGGAGCACCACAGTCACCAGGGAAGCCAGGGACACCATCAATACCAGTGGGTCCAGCTTGACCAGGAGAACCGGGTTCACCACAAGCACCTTTGGGTGAATCCCTGCTATCCATAATTAAAACAGTGCTGAAGTTACCACCTCTACAAAAGTTAGATCCTTTGATCAAATTCTCTACCTCTGCCTCTAAAACTTTTCTGATTCAATCTCCTATCACCTCCAAAATTTCTTTGTCTCGCCTGCTTAAGATCACAATCCTTTTGTGACCGATACAACATACTTTTCTCTCTTTCTTTATATCAAAACAACCTGCTGTATCTTTCTCATGAATCTTCCCAAGAAATTCAGTTGGGGTCAAAGAGGGCCAGTCACAGACCAACAGTTTAACCAAAAGTGAACAAGGGGGAAGCATATTCCATATGAAGGTTGAGATTACCTAACTACCCCTCTTTGTGTACACCTCTTTGTGTACCACACAGATATAATATTAATAAGCTTTATTGTGCATGTTTAGCACGGTCGTCTAGGGGTGTATACATAAACAGTGATAGCAGAGTCTTCATATGGGGTTTGCAATACTGACAGTCTGGGTCATAGGTGTAATGCAGACATGCGGTTAGGAACTTTTCCATTGTCAGAACACTAATATATTGCAAATATTAAAATCATATTGCAGCTGTTTCCTATACCTGCAAGGATATGGTTGCAATACTTCAATTGAGTTCAAATTGAGTATCAAAAATTCTTACCACAAAAACTAAATTTTATATGCTTATCAAAATGAGTTTAACCCCTTAGCAATTTAATAGGGTGACCTCTTCCCATAGTATGGTTCCTTTTATAATTATTATATTATTTATTCTCTTCTGGGTCAGCAAAATGCTTTCAATATACCAATACAAATATAATACAGTAGTTTAGAATTGCCTCAAAAGAAATTATCTGATCTCTATTAAAAATACCATTTCATCATTTTCCTATAATCAATGAGGCATACTAGATGAATCTTAATCTTGGAAAAAACCTATCCTATACATCCATAATTTTTTCTTGTTATATAACCATATAACATAACAATCGTTTGTTAAAGATAACAATTTTTCTTTTTCTTAAATAATGCAATGTACTTTAAAAGTAGCGTTAACTCTAAATACTCCCCTAATAATACTGAAACGTGGATCCACGATTTTGAAAAGCAAGTTATATATTTTTTCCTTTTCTTTCCTAGGGGCCCCTTTCTTGTTGGCTGATCAGCGTTTTTTTAATCTGTTGTAAAAAGACACTAAAGGCTTGCGTTAATGACATGCAAATATTCTTTAAATATTCTTCATACACATTGTAATATCACACATCATCTTATAGCACAGAAAACATGTAGCAGATATCCAGCAGACATGCCAATACAAAAAGCATATTAATCCAAAATAAATTAATAAATGTCACACTCTGTGACAGAGATAATATAGGTTCTCATGTTTGTGCATTATGCATGTCTGCAAACAATGCAAGCAGTACTGCTTTAAGATTAGATCAGAGCACCTGGCAACTGGACAGGAAAGTCAAATTTTGGCAGGAAGTCCATTATTGCAACAGAATTTTGGAAATCAGCTAAAATTTACAAAAACAGACTCCCTCTTTTTTTTCTTTCTTAAGACTACAACTCATATTGCTCTTGGACTAGTATTCAATAATAAATCAGTTATTTAATAGATTATTACGCTGCCATTTTCATCTGTATCAATACTAAGACAAACTTATTCAAATATAATTTAAAATAACACAGCAAAATACTCATTAACATACATGACAATTAAACTGCGCACTTCAAAATGAGTAACCAAAACAAAAACCTTTATGACAATCATCATTCACACAGAATAAACTTCTAACATCTGTATTCAGAACATATTATTGTAAGGTATACCAATTTTAGTTTGTATCGGATTTATTTAAGAGTTCTGGTACCAAAGGGTTTATTTTTTCTTTTTAAAGAAGGGATCCCGTACGGCCATATAACGCGTTTGACTTATACATTTGTATAACACTTGCATTAACCAGTTGCGACATATGTACCCTGCCAATGGATTTTCTCTCTTATACGTTTATAGAACATTTGGACCAGATTACACAGACATGGTATCACCTGCATTTGTCAGAACTCTCAAAGACTCAAAATATTTATACTACTCCATGTTAAAGGCATGGCAAAATTTTGACCGGTCAATTTGAGTTTCCAAAAGTCATATCAACACAGGTAAAAACCTTTGTCCATGGTTTTCTGATCCTACATTCCATGACCAAAATTTCAAACCCACTTCTTCACAGTTTGGGTCACAAGCAATAAAATCTCAGCAACCCCATACAATAATTTACAGAATACATACAATTTAAAGCACATACAACATGTGACGTACTGGAATACTACAAGTTAGCTTACAGCACAAAAATGAAGCATGCGTTGGAATGCTGAAAATATTAATTTTGCTCTCTTCTAAATTTACAACATAAATTCTCTGCAACAAACACTCAGGGCAGAAAGAATGTGGTGTTTGACATTTTGAATGAAGTGACTTTTTGTCCCAATATGAAAATAAAGGGCTCATCATATAAACAATCATACATCTCACTCTCATGAAAAAGTGTAGTGGGCTTATAGTACTTTTGTCCAAATATAAAAATAAGGGGCTCATTATGCAAACAAACATACATGCAGAGAAATCATGTTAGTTCAAGAATTTGTAGCCCCCCTTAAATAACCTC